TGTTGTTGTTGTTGTTGTTGTGTTGTTGTATTGGTATGCTGGCAGGTGGTGTAGCTGCCAAAATAGGTATTTTATGCCAAAATTAAACCCAGAAAAATCGACCAAAGTTGGTCGGTTTTTTAAAAAAATAAATTATTCTAAAATACCGACCAAAGTTGGTCGGTTAATGAACATTGAATTCCCAGAATTCAACACTACCGTCCAACTTTGGTCGGTATTTTGCTTGCATTGTTGAGATTACCGACCATGGTCGGTCGGTAATGTTTAATTTTAATTATTTTTAAAAAATATATATTTTCAATTACCGACCAAAGTTGGTCGTTTTTTTTAATTTTAATAATTAATAAAAAAATATAATTTAGTTAAACCGACCAACTTTGATCGGTAAAATTAAATTAATAAAATATATTTTCGACCAAAGTTAGTCGGTAAGTAATTAAACTTGTCAGATGGTCGTTTTAATATACCGACCAAAGTTGGTCGGTAATTTCCGACCAACTTTGGTCGGTAAGCCATTCCGACCATCAAAACACCGTCCACACCGTAATGATCGCGTTTTGGTCGGTAATTTGCCATAACCGACCAACGTTGGTCGATATTTTTGATCAGTTTTTAACGAATTTCTAGTAGTGGCTTTCAATTGAGATGTAGGTTTGATTATCAAGAAAAGAGTGTTATAAGTTAGTAAGTGGAGCAGACAAAAAATTTTGCCGTGCAGAAGATTTAAAAAAATTATAAGAGTTTAAGTTACATATGCTTGTCAGCCTAACGAATTTGTTATACTATTAGATCGGCCAGGATGTAGATATAGTTGAGGCTAGCATATATACCTAAAACAGTTAATTTAATCGCGCTTCGCGGACTTACAAAAATCTTTGTAAGAAAATAAGATGAAAAAAAATAAAAACAAATAAAAGTACTTCATACTCCTTTATGAAAAAAAATGAAACATAAAATAAAGTCAAATAAATGTGTTTCGTTCCTTTCTGTACGTAGTTTTATAATGACGAAGTTACTCAAGTAACATTACTCTCTGCTGGGACTATGCAATATTTTTTTGAAGGCAAAAACTATATAATGTTAGCCATCTCGCCTTCTTTTTCCTATGTTATATTGTTCATAAATAATTATTAATTATTATAAATAAGTCCTTTTGTTAGAGATTGTATTTATATGTTATAAGCAACATCTATTTACCTGCAATATAATGTGAGAGATGTTCGTTGTAGCGTAGTTGTACCATATATAGTTTATGTCATCCAATCTTATATGTAGAATATATATTTACTTAAGGTAGTTACCGAGGATTGAATGAGGAAAATTGCGGCTTGTAACAGTAGGCAAAACTAAGAAAATGCCATCACCTTACATTTTTTGTGTATATAAATCAAATAATTAAAAATAATACTAACTATTAGAAAAGGTTAGTACTGGTATAGTATTTACCAAAAATCATGTATTTGACTTTGTCAGCATGCCATATGCATCAACATGCCTCAAATTCCTTCTTTATACTCCTAAATCTTTTCACTGAATTGTATTTGTCAAAAAGAAAAAAGAAGAAGGAAAAAACTCCATCATTAACTTTTAGCAATTCCACAAACATCTCCAACTCCTTGTCTTCTTTTTTCGTTCTTCTTTATCCTTAAACACCCATTGGCCATTCTCCAAAATATTTATAAGTCCTCTTCCCGCACCAAACAACAAAAAAGAATCAGAAAGGCATTAAGAAAATTGAATATGTCAAAAACAAACGTTAAAGAAAAAATCGTAACTATGAGTTGTTTGAAAGAAACAAAAATCTCTTTAATGATTATTAAAAAAGAATGCAATAATATATTTAGACCATGAGAATTGAGAAAGAAGAGCAGATTGTTTACGAAAGAAAACGAACTGACAGTTTTCAAAAGAATACATTCTTTCAAATAATTCAAATAACACACCGTGATTGTCTTCTCCAATTCTGTTGCAACTTTTACGTCACTATTTCCTCCGGTATCTACTCAACTTGTGCCTTATCATTCCTAAGAAAATATTCCCTACTCTGGTTCCTCTCCCGACAATGTCACTTTCCAACAATTGATAACAGCCCAACACAAAGTCCAACTTCTCCCGGTCGGCAACTTAACCTGTACAACTCGGCGCCTCCCTCTGATCCGCTATATATTTAGTTATTGCTTTATCAAGTATCATATCTCAAGCCAACCTTCATCTAACATGTATATCAATGAAAAGAAGAACATGCGTGATTAATAAAGGAGTAATGAAATTAAGTGGAAGAGAATGGCGTGTAATTAAGATGATTACTGAAGAGTTGGTTACACATATCATTTAAGGTGTAATTTCATAATTAAAGGCAACGGTCTTTAGAAGGAAGGAAAATATTAAGAAAAGGCAAAAGTCTGAGAAAATTAGTAAATAGATTTCGTGGCTTGTGAGGCCTGCCACATCACTCCTTCATATATATATAGATTTGTTAAGGAAAATCCATGTCCATAATTATAATTAGATCATAAATCAAGATAGGTTAACCATAAACTGTAACAGTGTATGTTATTGATCATGTGAAATACATGTACAATGGAGTATTTATACTAATTAAATACACACAAAAGACTAAACTACCCTTGTGTGCATTACTTATCACCCCCCTCAAGCGATGCGTGCCATGGAAGAACACAGAGCTTGTCACGTAACAAGCGCAATCTCGGTGAAGGAAGAGCCTTTGTCAATAAATCAACATATTGATCATTGGAAGGAACATACTTAACTTGCAAATCTCCAGAAGCAACTTTGCTGGAGAGATAAATGTTGCTAACATTGTCACAAAAAATAGTAGAAGTGGATGAAATTGGTATGTGAAGATCTCGAAGAAGTGAACACACATCCAAGTAACTTCAACAACAACATGAGTAATTGAGCGATACTCAGCTTCAACACTGGATCGGGAAACAATAAGAAAAAGACAGAATGCTGAGGTAGAATGTCGAGTTGATGGACAACCTACCCAATATGCATTACTTTAGCATTCAAGATGGTCAACAGAGCCACCACTGATAAACAACCCATGAGATAGGGAGCCATTTAAATACAGTAATATACGTTTTACAGCAGTGTAGTGAACAACCAAAGGTGAGTGCATAAACTTGAAAACTTGATTGACCACAAAAGCAATATCAGGACGAGTAAATGTTAAGTATTAAAGTTTACCAACAAGACTATAATAAAGCGTATGATAAGAAAAAGAAGGAGAATCAGTAGTATGTAATGAGTTTTTAGGAGAAATGGGAGTGGAAATAGGCTTTGAACACAGAATATTAGCATGGTGAAGATCTTTAATATACTTAGATTGACAAAGAAAGTAACCACCCTCTCGTGGTATGACAGAAATACCAAGGAAATAACTAATTAGTCCTAAATTATTTATAGAAAATTTTGATTTAAATGTATGAATCTGTTGCGGAAGATCGTGGGTTAACTAGTACACAATCACATACAAAGCAAATAGAAAAAAAAAATCAATACAAGGATTTAACGAGGTTTGACTAAGCCTAATCCTCGGGATAGACGATGAGAGAGTTTTTCACTATGAATGAGAAAAAAAGCACAATAAAATCTATAGAATCCTCAACTGCAATCCTTATATATACATATATCCTAAATAGTCTCAAACCTATAAGAGAAAGGTTTCCCAATTTGACAAGGCCAATAAATTTTTCTTTCCCAAATCTATTAGAACAACGAATTTTCCCAAACCTATAGGGATTATGGGTTTCCTAAAAATACAAGGAAATAGTTCAAGCCACAAAATAATAATTCTTTCCCTTAGCTTGAATTCTCTTCATCAACAGGAATACCGTCTCTCTACCTTGTCCTCAGCCCTCGCAAGGGCTCTACCCATTTCCGCACACATTAACCAAGTCTAGGCAACGCCTAAACTTGTTATAAGACTCAATCTCTTCAGCCATAACACTGATATGTGGATTTGGTTATATACTCAGAATAGCTTCTGGATAGCTATAACACTCAAACTCATCAGTAGTCTCTGCAACTGCCAAAGAAAATCTCACAGGATTTGTAAATCCAAGAAATTTTCCATCAACTATATTTGCAAACCTTTGTGGTCGGTTAATCATTCTCTTCTCTCTGCCTGTTGCAATGCTATGTGGTTGTTGTTGCGCAGGTGCATCACAATTATCATCTTGATAAATATTTTTCACCTCCTCCACTTCCTATATTTTAGAACTACTAGGCTAAGCTACTGTAAGGCCCCGAAAAATTTCGCTAAGGAATTTAAGGTTCCGTGGTGCCAAGGTAGGCTAATTTATTGTATTTTCGGACTTTAGGGTTGAACAATGTGTTGGAGAGTTGAATCATTTCGACCTCACGAAGCCAAGTCTGTAGCACACTAGACCGTGCTATATACCTCGCGAAGCCAGGTCTGTAGTGTGCTAGACCGTGCTATAGAGCTCGCGGCGCAAGGTCTGTAGCACGATAGACCGTGCTATAGAGCTCGCGGCGCAAGGTATGTAGCGTGCTAGACCGTGCTACAGAGCTCGCGAAGCCTGGTCTGTAGCCCGGTTCGGATTTCAGAGGGTCCATTTTTCTATCTTTATAACCCGACCCTATCTCGATAAATAGACACAAGGGACCATTTTTGAAGGAAATATCTGATATTTTTAGAGAGAGGAAGTGCCCTAGAGTGATAGGAGAAATCCCTAAGCGAATTATTCATCAAAATCTTTCTCAAGCCTTGAAATTCAATACGAAACCTCACAAGTTCTTCATCTAAGAGGTAAGGTTCCATACCCTAGTTTTCAATTTTGAATTTGAGTAGAAGATGGTTGATTGAGAGTGTGATTCTTGGGTGTAAGAGTATTATTTATACATGCATGTACCAATAAGGTTTATGGGAAGATTGTTGAGCTCAAATAAGTAAAGATTGCGTTGTGGAATAAAAAAAATCTTTAAAAGTACCTTATAGTCAAATCTGCACACCTAGTGTTTGATAAAATACTCAAATGAGCTGAAACCATGAATATCTTCCTAATTTGTGTTCAATTTTGTTATATCTCAAAATTGATTGGGATTGCTAGGATTTTCGAAATATTGTAGTAATTTAAGAAAAGCTCAAAGCGAGGTATGTTGGCTAAACTACTCTCTTAGAATTGANTAATCTATAAAAATGTTTGAATGTGAAATAAGTGAATTGGGGAATAGAGTGTGACCAACATGCCAAGAATGAAAGTTATACTTGTGGATAGTGGTGCCAATGATATGAGATAATGTGAGAAAGATTATGAAATAAGATTTGATTCAACTGTTCCAAAATTATTTCAAAAATAGAATTTCCTAAAAGCTTATATACTTAAGTCATGCCCATATGTGGCTGTTTAAACTAATGCTATGCTTTGTGAGTATTTTCAATGTGTTTTGCGTTCTTACATTTTTGTGAGTGGAAATTGCGTATTTCCCTTTTTAGGGAAAAGTATTTCAAGAATAAATGGTGTGTTACTTGTTTATGATTTTAACTTTCGCATCGATTGCCAATTATTTTACTCCATTTCTTGGAAAGAAATCTAGTGTGCTTAAATTCTTCATTTCTAATGAACTTAAAGTTGTGATTTCCGGAATATTATATATGTTGATATTTATGATGATGATGATACATCAGAGGAAAGAAATGAAAGTGTGGAATATGAAATACGTCTATTGTGCAATGAAAGTAGAATTATATGTATGGTCAAGAGAGCCAATGAAATAATGATGTTGTAAGTGGATGAAAATGCCAATGAGGTTATAAATGGTAAGAAAGGTTATGAGGTAAATGCATTTGTATTATTGTTTCCTTTGTATGCAAATCAAAAATATTTTTGGGAGTATCGTTAGTCACCGAGGAAGGGTAGGTTGAAATAACCTAACCTCGAAACTACACGTGCCGGTGTAGGAGTGGATTGTGATTTTTTCCCTTATTTGGGATGAAATTGATGTGATAAAAATACTTCCCCTCAATTGGGATGAGATTATTGATATAAAAGGATAATGTCAATCCACACGGCATTGTGGTGAGATAGCCTAGCCGATCGGGTCGTGATCGGACGCCATGCCGCACACATGGTGGTGATTGTGCTGAAAACTGTAATTGAAATGGTGATTGAGATTGTGATTGTGGTTGATGTCTTGGATGAGATGGCCTAGACGATTTGTTCGTGATCAGACTCCGTGCTAAAAGTACGGCGGTATTGTGAACGGTGGTATATCAGTACTAATGATCTCCTAACCAAAAATAATGTTATCTTCGTATTTTGGAAATTATTATGTTTTAACTTGGCATTTGGATATCATTGATTGTTGATTATTGTTTCCATGGTTTTCCCTTTCTTATATTGGCATTCTATTTTGAAAGAGGACAGTTAGATTTACATACTAGTACTATTCTATATGTACTAACGTCCCTTTTGCCGGGGGCACTGCATCTTCAATGGATGCAGGTGGTTCATCAGCGGGCAGCTTTGGTTCTCGTTAGCAGTTACTCCCTTTTCAGTAGGTTTTGGTGAGCCCTACTCTATTCCGGGCCTGATGTCATTTGATATTGTACTTTGTGTTTTGGGGTATAACCGGGGCCTTATTGCCGACACTTCCATACTACTCTTCTGTTATACTTAGAGGCTCCGTAGACAGGTTGTGGGTGGTGTTTGATGTTATGAATTGAACTAGATGTGTTGGTATTTTGGCAAACATGTTTTTCATTATATCTATAAACTCGCAATATTTTAGAAATCGTAAATGAATTTCTTTTGAGAAATGGGAAAAGAATGGGGAACATTACACTCTCCTCATGTATATCTCTTGATATCGATTTTATATTGTTCATGGGTAAAATTGGATAGAAGGAATCAAGTAGGCTTGATCGACCGGGTTATCTCGGTTGAGCGCCGGTCGCGCTCCCCGAGGTCGGGGTGTGATAGCTAGTGGAGATTCAATTTCTAGCTCTATACGGTCACTGATACCACGATCTATTTCTGCTATTGCCTTCTCCCTCTGACTGTCCAGTGAGGCAGATTCATTGAATGTCACATCCCTGCTAGGGGTGGGCATTCGGTATTTGGTTTGATATTTAAGAATTTTGGTTCGGTATTTCGGTATTCGGTTTATCAATTGTGTATACCAAATACTGTACCAAATTATTTCGATACAGTTCGGTATTTTTTATTTTGATTCGGTACGGCTTCAGTTTAATAATCGCTAAAAACATAAACTTATTTTGGTTCAATACTGTAGCACCAAACTGGAAACAACAAAATTGATTAATTGACAGAAACAATTTTTGTCCAGAAATAAAATTGACAGAAACAGTTCAAATGCTAAGACAGAAACAATTCGAATGCCAACAAAATTTTTGGCCGCCTGTAGTAGTATAGGGAAATTGGAAACACTTAAACTTGCTATCTATAATTCTATATTCTTCTTTTTTCTATTTGAAGACACCATATTTAAAACAAAATAAAAATACCTGAACATCCAACATTTCACACTGCCAATGCCAAGAACACCTGAACAACCAATATTTCAGGAAACACCTGCAATTACATTTACACACGGCAATTACATTTACCAATTGGAAACACTTGAACAACCAACATTCTTCGAAAAAAGGCCATGCACAAATAGAGCAAACATCTGAACATTGACATTCATTCACAATTCAGCAAAACCATAAATACAACATTTAAGACAGTAGCATAAACAAAGAGGGCATCAAACTCTAACAAGCTCAGTAAACTTTCACTTGAACTGACATCACTTACTCTACTTTCATCTGCCATCTATACAAATAAGGTAAAGAATTTATTTGTATGGATTCAACCATAGGGCAATATCTCAGCCTTATAAAAACAACTCACATTACTTAGAGCAATTCTAGAAAGAAACACCTTATAGTACTATGGTTTAAAAAGATATTCTCTTTAAAGTATGATACTGAAAATCTACACATAAACACACAAACACTAACTAAAAGATTCAATATGTACATGGAAGAGAAACCAGAATTGTGCACTTTCCAAGTATTAAATGAACCAAAGACAGCTCCTTTTGGGTAAAGAACTTGCACTTTAATATAAATGAAGTTTCCAATAAACACGAAATATATAGAAAAAATATTGTATATATCAATGTTGAGTCTGAAATGGGGAGAATGGTCCTGGTCAAGAGGCAGGTGCTATTCCTGGTCAAGGAACTGTCATTAAGGCTGTAAGAGTTGAATTGAGGAATGACATATAGGAATCTTATGCTGCATAAAGTTGCTTGTAATTAAACACAGGTAAACTTTTTGACATTCTCAAGTATGAAAGTTTTTTGCTGTAGTAGCTAATAACTCAAGTATGAAAGATTTTCTCTGTGCTATTCAAACAGAGAAAAAACTATAAAGTAGGGGCGAACAGATTCACATTTGGCTAACAAAGCAATCAAACAGAGAAATGACATTAAATAGGAATTATAATATACAAATCAAAGCTTCAACGGATCAACTCAAAATTCAAAACTCAACGAACAATGAATCAATTCTGTTTAAGGAACAGCAAGAGCTCAAAATGCACCTTAGCCAAAATGTTTACTTTCAATTTATTGAACATACCCAATAATCTAATTTCAAGGTAAAACAAATAAAAACTGGTAAAAGGGTTTTAAAAAAAGAGTCAATCTTTAGCAGTTCTAGCACAAATTATGAAAGAAACTAGAAACATACCTTTGAATTTTGATTAACAGCCGATCTCTTTGAAGTCCCAGCAAGCTTCTGAAACAGCAGCCGATATCTTTCTGAATTTGTGAAACTATTGCAACAACAACCGATCTCTTTCTATATTTGGTCTTCGTTTACCCGAAATTTGTGAAACTATCGCCCTAAATCGGAATTGACTTTCTGAGGAGTGAGAAGTGAGCTGAGTTCGTGACTGCCTAATGCTAATGCCCTAATCTTTAGAGTTTAGATCCTAATTGAATAGAGAGTGGGCTTGGGCAGTTGGGCTGGGGCGCTGGAGTGGGCAATGGGCTGAGAATTATATTAAAAACTTTTGGGCTGGGGAGCTGGACAGTGAGTGTAGTAGCTAACTATAGGTCTAAATTAAAAAAAGCCTTTAAAAATTCGATAATTCGGTATTTTTGATTTTTCAGATTTTATTCCCACCCCTAATCCCTACTGATAATTAGCCTTGGAATCTTTTAATATGTTCACCACAACCTATAACCTTTCACTCCAGTTTCATACCCTAGAAATATGAACTTCTTTGCCCCTCGGCTCAAGTTTTCCATCCCTCACATGAGCATAAGTAGGACAACCAAATATCCTTAGATTTGAATAATCAGAAGGAGAACCAGATCAAACTTCAAAAGGAGTTTTGAACTCAATAGTTATGGATGGAGATTTGTTGACCAAATAATAAGTTATATTGATTGCTTCAGTCCAACAATCCTTGCTAACACATGAGTATGAAAGCATGCTTCGTTCCATATCACAAAGTGTTATGTTCATATGTTCTGCAACACCATTCTATTATGTTGTTCCGACATAAGTGCGGGTGTCTCACTGTGGCCTCTTTGCTGCATAAATTATTGAACTCAGAATTGCAAAATTCTGACCCATTGTTAGTCCGAAGATGCTTAACTTTTCTTTCCGTCCGCCTCTCAACCATTGTCTTCCATTTAACAAATATCGTAAATGCCTCATCTTTTGTTTTCATAAAATACACCCACACCATCCCTGAGTAATCATCAATCAAAGTCATAAGTTACCTGGCACTACACTTGGAGGAAACTAAGTTTGGACCCCACATGTTTGAATGTATATAATCTAACTTGTTTCTGGTATTGTGCTCTGCCTTCTTGCTGAATTTTACCTTGTCTATTTACCAAACACACAATGCTCACAAAATTTTAAAACTTTATTTTTATATTCATCCAGCAAATTCTGCTTACTCAACAAAGACAATACTTTGTCACTCATATGACCAAGTCGCAAGTGCCACAATTGAGATTGATTTAGATCACTTTGTCCAGAAGCTATAGCAATTTCTTCTTCAACTACACTGGCCTGAAGAGGATACAATTTAGAATGTAGTTTACCATCATGAGTACCATGGAGCCTTTACACACTTTAAGTATTCCATTCTCGGAGTAAACTTTATACCCTTGATTATCCAAAGTCGAACGGAAAATTAAATTTCTCTTTATCGGAGGAACATGCCAATACTCAATATTTCTGGTAATTCCATCGAACATTCTTAATATAATGATCTCGTCTACTAGTAATGGATTATTATCTCTCATATAGACAGCCCCACTCATCTGCTTGTAAGTTACAAACCAATTTTTGTGTGGACATATATGAAAAGTAGCACCAGAATCAAGAACCCAAAAATTCTTCCCATGACTAGAACTCACAACACAGACTTCCCCAACATAGTCACTATCGTCAGAATTATTGCCAGCGTCAATGATATTTGCCGAAGTATCTATTTTCTGCTTTCCTCTTTTCTCTTTCAGCTTAGGACAATCTCTTTTGTAGTGACCTTACTCCCCGCACTCATAACAATTTTTCTTCCTTGCTCTAGACTTTGATCTGGCAGTTAATTTTTTTCTGTTAAAGTCCTTTTGTTATATTTTTCCTCTACTCACAAGACCTCTGCCCTTAATTCTGCTGTCTGGAAAGCTCATTTTCAAATCTTTAGATTTTAGTACATTATTAACAACTTCCATTGAAATGTTGTCTTTCCCATATAGCAGCGTATCAACAAAAATATCATAAGAAAATGGTAAAGAACATAACACAATCAAGGCCTAATCCTCACTCTCAATTTTGATATTCATGTTCTTCAAGTCTATTATAATTGAATTAAACTCATCAAGGTGAGTTTTAACATGTGTACCTTCATTCATACAGAGATTGTATAACCTATTTTTCAGGTATAAGTGGTTTGTCAACGATTTCTTAGAATACAGATCTTCCAACTTCTTCCGTGTCGTTGCTGCAGAAGTTTCTTCAGCAATTTCCCAAAGAACGTTATCTGTAACGCTCATGAAAATCGCACTCAAAGCCCTCTCTTTCAGGCCTGCCTTCTCTGTCTTTTTCATCTCTTTAGGAAAATCCTCATCAATTGACTTCCATAATCTTTGTAATACCAGGGACGATTTCATCCTAATCTTTCATAGACTGAAACTAGAACCCCCATCAATTTCTCTACTTCATACTTTATTGAAGATGGTGGGTTAACTAGCACATAATCACATACAAAGCAAATAAAAAAGAAAAATCAACACAAGGATTTAACGAGGTTCGGCTAAGCCTAATCCTCGGGCCAGAAGCAGAGAGAGTTTTCCACTATGAATGAGAAGAAAAGCAACAACAACAACAACAACAACAACAACAACAATCCAGTATAATCCCACTAGTGGGGTCTGGGGAGGGTAGTGTGTACGCAAACCTTATCCCTACCATGAGGTAGAGAGGCTGTTTCCAATAGACCCTCGGCATCCTTCCCTCCAAGAACTCCCCACCTTGCTCTTGGGGTGACTCGAACTCACAACCTCTTGGTTGGAAGTGGAGGTTGCTTACCATCAGAGCAATCTCTCTTGTGCAAAATGAATCAGAAGAAAAGCACAATATAATATATAGAATCCCCAACTACAACCCCTACATATAGATCCCAAATAGTCCCAAACCTATAAGAGAAAGGTTTCCCAATTTGACAATGACAATAAGTTTTCCTTTTCCAAATGTATTAGAACAATGAGTTTTCCCAAACCTATAGGGATTATGGGTTTCCTAAAAATATAAAAAAATAATCCAACCCATAAAATAACAGAATCAAAGAGAAAAGCAAAGATGAGGAAGATGCAGTGACAAGAATGTCATCAACATAGAGAAGTAAAGTAGCAATATCAGTTGTAGTGTTGTAGACGAAGAGAGAGCAATCTGGTTTACTATTTTTAAATCCATGACGAAGAAGAAAATAATTAAACCGATGAAACCACGCCATTGGGGCCTATTTTAAGCCATAAAGAGCTTTGTTCAACCGACAATCATGGTTTGGAAAGTTTGGATGAACAAAGCATGGAGGCTATTTTATGTATACCAGTTCATTAAGAGTTCCATATAACAAGGCATTCCTAACATCTAGTTGGTGAATTAACCAACCGTTAGACGCAGGAAGAGCAATGACAGTGCGTATGGTAACTAGTTTCATCAATGGACTAAATGTTTGATCATAGTCTAGTCCATATTGTTGTTTATACACTTGATCTACTAAAACTGCTTTAAAACGCTTAATAAAACCATCTGATTTTTATTTAACCTTATAGATCCAACGACAACTAATTATATTTACATTTACAAGAGTTAAGACTAAAATCCCAAGTATTATTAGTCATAAAAGCATTATAGTATTCGACCATTGCTCGACTCCAATTTGGATTCATATTAGCTTCCTTAAAAGAAGATGGTTTGGATGGGAGTGAGGAAATGTTAGAAAAAAGTGAAGGAAGTATTCGTGGCTTAAGACTACCAGTTTAAGCACGTACGATCATATGATGTTGTTTGGATGAAGGGAGCTTTGAGTTAAGAGAAGAGAGAAGAGGAGATTGGTTTGAATTAGATACTGATGAGGGAGGCGTAGAGGAATTAGCATGAGAAGGATTTGGTCTAGAATGATAAGATTTATCCAGATGACGTGATGGAGATACATAAGAGGGGTTGAAAACTCTAAAGGAAGAAGAGTCTTAGGGCGGCAATTTACTGCATTTGAAATTGGAGATATTATTGGTACATGAGGAGAGGAAAGATTTTGATAAGAAGAATGTGTAGATTGGTACAAATTGGAAATCGTTTGTTGAGGAGTATCAGGATTTGAACTCATCCTTGAAGTTAGAGAATGTGTATGACATGATTCAATGGACACGCCTGTAGGTTTCTAATAGATAAAGAATGCAAAAAATTTAAATTATAGCAGGGAAAAACTAAAGGAAGAGAGAAATGTAGAAGTGGATAGGTGTTGAAATTTAATGGAGTTTGAAACAGTTAGTTGGAGGAATTAACGGGTGATGTAGAAGATTTAAAAAAAGGATCAGGAAAGAAGCTCTCATTAAAACGAACATGTCTAGAAATATAGTCTTTGTTCGTGATTGGATCAAAATATCTAAATCACATATAATTTGACGGATAACCAAGAATTACACAATGTTTAGACAAGGGACTTAATTTATGGGAAAAGTAATCACGAATATTAGGATAACAAGAGCAACCAAACACCCGTAAATGATCATAGGTAGGAGACTTACCAAAAAGAAGTTCAAAAAGAGTCCTAAAATTAATTGTAGAAGATGGTAGAATATTTAAAATGTGGACAACTTTGTGAAGAGCTTCAACCCAAAATGTAGGAGGAAGTGAAGCATGAAAGAGTAAAGAACGAATCATATTTACAATAGAACGATGCATACGTTCAACTTTTCCATTTTGTTGATGAGTATGTGGACATGAAATTGTTGAAGTTTTTGTTATTTAAGATGAAATAGTCTTAAAATGAGGGTGAATGGAAAATGGAGGGAAAATA